CTTCAGCGCCTCAGAGTCTCAGCGCAGACGCTGCGAAGGATGTCTTCGACGACGCTATTCATGCGCTCAGTCTAACCGCCGGTCTGCGAGGAGTCCGCTGTTGGCATAGTCAACTTGGTGACCGGCACCCTGAAGAGTGTAGACCAAAACTTTCCAATGATGAATCGCGGGTCTCGATCAGAGACGATTGACTCCGTGAGTCAATGCTGTCGAAAGACGTGATCGAAAAACAGTGTCGCTGTACCCACACCGTCGATGGTCTCCGGCAGAGCCGCCAGATGGGCCATCTTGCTCAAACGGTTGCACAAAGACCACCAAACTCGTGTTGCCCGCCGAGTCCTTCGGCGGGCCAAACACAACATTCATACTCATGGACTGCCAATACCCAAAGTGTACCTGTAAACTGGCAAGCGGCGCCTCCGCATTTGGATAGGGTTTCACGCTCTAACACGTCTCACACGTGCGCACACATGTGCTCGTTTAATTGTACAGCTTTAATCACCAACAGTGGCAACTTTTCGAGCGTACGACTTCTCAAGACCGAGATGCCACTAAGTGGTGTGTCTTGGGCCTCATAGAGGATACGGTATTTCAAATCCTCGTCGTGTGGAACCACTATTCGTGGCGTATCCGTTGGGTCGGTGCTATAATACAGCAACCCGTTTCTCAATGAATTTCGGCGTAATCGTGCGCGCAACTGCGCCGATAATTTCTTGTCCGAGTTTCCAAACGCCTAGCTTCCGAGAGCATGTAGCAGCGCTACACACACTGTCACCCGCATATGTGGCGCGGATCAAATCCGCCACTGACGACGTCACCGTTGTGACATTATCAAGGTCATAGTCCGGTCTCCGTGACAACACGTCTGCCGAAGCATTCTGCATCCTGGCTTACTTCACCCAGATGTTCTATTCTGCAAAGAATTATAGCCACCTAGCCGGTGAGGAGACTGAGTCACAGTGTGAAGTGACGCATGATCTGTGTAGATCACAAACGACTTTGAGCCCAGCAGGTGCACCCTGAACTTGACAAGTGCATTTTTCATCGCAAGTAAGTCCTTGTCGTGGACTGGGTAGTTCCTCTCCGCAGCCTTAAGCTGGCGAGATTCGAGCGCGATCGTCACTCGGTGTTTGTTGCAGCAAGGCACAGCCGATGGCAAAGTCCGAAGCGTCACAGACGTCGATCGGGGTGTGGCAACGCCACTTTTGGTACATGACAGAGGCTATATTTGCCTCCTATCAAGAGCGTCCCGATGCTCGGTGTCCCAATACTATGTGTATCATTTTTAAGGAGATTAGAAAATGGCCGTGCCATTTCCGCACAACTTGCGCTATACTTGTGCAAGGAGTTGGCGAGGCCAAGCCACTTGCGCATGTCCTTTTGGTTCTTTGAAACCGACCAGTCCACAATGGCCTAGACCTGAGCGGGATCCGCTCGAAGGCCATGCTTCCCAATGAAGCACCCTAAAAAGGTAATTTCTTCCGCGCCATAAATGCACTTATCGGTATTAGCATATAGTTTATTCGTGCGCATGCACTCGAGCACCGCTCCAAATGGACGATGTGGGTTTACCTCGATTGTCCTCCCGTGCTCCACAAAACTGTGGACGAAGATCGTCGAAGTATGTCTGTGCATACGCCCGATGGGGTCTAAAATGTTGCGTCACAAGACGATTAGATATTGCTGGTGCATTTGACAGCCCTTGGGGTATCCCAGGGCATACCGCTCGGAGTGCTTACCGCTATCAGCGGAATACCACTCGCTCTCCTGAGCAACTGGTAATAACTATTGACCAAGTCGAGTGCGCTGCACTTTGCACCATATTATTCTGGAGAACAGATTTTGCGTTTGTGCCGAAATGGTGGCAGCGTAGCTTAATATAAGCGTGAACGATACGCCACTCGCCGTTCGGCTTCCGAACGCAAACGTGGGTGTTGGATAGACTTATTCTCACGTACCATTCCTGCGTCGTGCTCCGCACAGAAAAGGCGTCAATGACGTCATATTGCTCTTGGGCAGAGGCCATTGGTGTGTTACGCAGTATTTGATTCCCGGAACCAGGTTATTGTACACCCGGTCAGGAGGTAGGTTTGACGGCGGGATTTTGAAAACGATGTCTTGAAATCCCTTCGCCAAATGATAATACGGATCCGAAGGATCTTTCAAGATTGACGATCCACTTCGTGCGTTCAGCATCCTCCTGGTGTCCTCCAGGACAGCTTCATCCAGAAGCGACGGCAAAATAATCGCCCCGTTCGTATAATGACCACATCGGCTGAATTACCTGCCATTTAGGCACCGTCAAACTCTTCGAGGAACATTTCTTCCAGCTCAAGAAGAACATCCACCGCGCGAATAGCCTCAAGGGTGACGTCGCCGTCTTCCTCCTCCATTATACTGTTAAAAAGGGTGCGATATAGTCTACGGTTGACACAACATCGCCGTCTCCTCTCTCTAGAAGTTTTACGTCTCGTTTATACCAGTGATAACACGCGCTCAGCGTCGTTCCATACCCCCACTCTCTGCTCCATCGGAGCCTTGATGTTATTAACAACATCCGACGAAGAGCTGTTATTTCAGCAGTCTTCGTCCAGTGGATATCGTGCTACTCCACGCGCATCAGAAGGGCCTTGTCCAGGATGCCTCGGGCCTCGTCCGACCATGATAGTCTTGGCATGCAGCAATTTCTTCGAATCGTGAGCAGTGCTCAGTGAATTACGTGCCACTACACGCGTATCACAAGAGCCTAGCCCTTGATGCCTCGGACCTCGTCCGACCATGCCACTCTTGGCATGCAGCGAATACTCCAATTCTTGAGCAGCGCTCAGTGGGTAACGTGCCACTCCACGTTCAGCCCGCGAGCCATGCTCGGGTCTCTTGTCCAAAACACCTTGGTGTTTGACGACTCGGATATTCTGATATCTAGAACATTGACCGTCCCAGTCCGATGCCCGTGCAAATAGTGCTTTTGCTTCCTTGCGACCCACAAGCGCTCAAGTTTGTCCACGCCCCAAATAGCCAGCCCTGGCACCAACGAATGTTCGGGGTCGTCCTAGCTTCTACAAGTCGGATCAATCATCAATTTAGACACTAAATATAATTACTCGGTGCGTATTGAATTGTTGATGCCTAAGTATGCCTGCATATATAACGGCACACGAGTGTTACGGGCATCCTACAAGAAGTCCACCGAATTATACCCAAAAGGTTCTGGTTTTCATTTTAATTGAGTTATACAGTTTTTATCATTTTTTACAAAATTCCAACGTGCGTGAGCCTTGCGGGTTTATCAGAGTATTTCATTAATGACACAAATTTGATAGCGAGCTTGCTGTCACCTACTCGCACCAAATTTTTACGATAATATGCTCCAACATTGTTTGCAATAGAATACGTTTCCTGTGAGGGTTTACGTCCATATTACACTGTAGGCCCTGGACTTATACAAGGTTCATTAGTTTCTTGTGAAGTCCCGTGATGATGAATCATATCGGTATTCGGTCCGGATTAGTATATGGTGACTTGAAAAGGATACAGATAACCCCGTAAAAAGTGACCGGTCGCCCAAAGCTACAAATTTCACTGTTAAGACACTCCTAGTAAGGCCGCTACTTGCATCGGTGGAAACACCACCGGCTTGAAGAGCTAGACCGCTCAAGTTTCAAGTTGTTGGAGAGCTTAAATCAAAAACCTTTTCTACTGGATTAGGTAGGCAGAGATAATCTCTAACTGCAGCAGCACGCCGACCAGTGATCATAAGATTGTGGGTGTGGGCAATAGATTGCGGTTAATTTGTAAACAAGTGGTGTTGTTCAAGCGGCAGACATCACGGGGCAACACCTAATCCGGCTGAATGCATTTGGCTTAAATTTTATACCTGTCAGTGAAAGAGTGAATCACTGATTTATATTCAAGCGCTGAGAAACGGATAGTCATAGTGCCAGCTGACCATTTTCGGAAATTGACTATGGATTTTATGTTCTTTTTGATGTACGACTCTAACCGAGACCTTCCGCGTCCTCCTGCCTTTTTGGGGTAGCGGTATATGTCGCACTGAATGCAGAACACAACCATCAATCCACGAGGGGGGTCCTGGGGATGGATGTTCTATGAACGCGCTAAAGATCAGCCAGACATGAAAAGTGTATTTTTAATACTAAGAAGCGTCGAGGTAACGTAGGTGTTATCAATTACCCCGAATCCCTCCGCTTTCGAATAGGATAGATGAGAGATCGAGCTACCACGTCAAATCTGTCGTCAGACACTCCCGGGAGACGTCAAGTCACAGTGGACATAGAACAGCTGACTGGTGAGAATATGAATCCAAGTACCACGTGCATATGTATTGAAAGAAAACTCAGCTTTAAAAGATTGACGCTTGCGAAGAGAGATTATCCTTAATCTTCAATTGATGTTCACTAATATTGACGTACATCATCCAGCTATATTCGACGCATTATTGTTAATGAAATAAAATATCCGTAGCTAAGTTTGCCAAGTACCTAATATATCCATGCACCATGCGACATAAACACTCGATAAGGTGGTGGGGCTCTTTTACGCCTTAACACTCGATAAGGTGGTGGGGGCTCTTTTACGCCTTAAGGTGCGGTTTAAAAAAATGTTGGCGTGGAACGCTGTTTGGTAAGTTCCTTTAAGCCACATGCGATATGAAAATAAATGACTCGGTCAACATACCACAAGCCATAGCCTGACCTAGTAAAGCAAGTCATGGGCCAAAGATAGACGTATTTTTGATAGGGGGAACGAAGCTGTGCTCGAGTGTATGTATGTTAATTAGCTCTATTCTATGTAAACAAATGTAATTTAGGTGCTGCTGAGAATTCATTTTTAGAATGATTCACTGAGAAGAGCGGTCCGCAGGCATATTTTATGAAAGCCAAGGCTATAGAAGATTAACTACAGCAGCTATATCAAAGATTTACCAATGCTGTCAAATATTTGCATATGTTGTCGATATTACATGAACTTTCAGCCAGCTTAAGGTGGCAGGTTTGCCAGTAGTAATGCATATAATTATATTACTTAGGTCTTGCTATATGAATCAGGTATCACTATATTAATCAGGAAAAGCTAAAGTTTTATATATTGGCGGCGCTGTCGCAACTAAGAAAATTAAATACAGTCTCGTATGAGAACAGAAGTGCTCGTTTGCCTTGGTAAAGCTTTAGTACTTAGAAGTAGTTAATTGCGATCCGCTACACTTGTACTCGTTCTTTAAAAAAACCAAGGCCGGTGACCTCAGCTTAGCTTCCTCTAAGCAACGAGCTACGGCAGCCCCGCTGCAAGAAAGCTGTCAGTTCCACGCATAGTCATCACATATCTCTTATTAAATGTCAGACATCAATGCCGTTCTACTCTTTAGTGCTGGCGTCTCACCCACCATGACAGATGGACAAGTCGAAGTATTTCCGTGGTGTCACGACAAGCTTACAAAATCATTTCTTCGCCAGCGTTGTGGGTCGTCATGATGAGCTTGACAGTAAATTCTTGCGAGTATATTTTGCTTCAGCAAAACGACGATCGCGCTCAAAGGTGACCGTCCAACGAAGAAGATTTTGCGAAAAGCTTTTTCAAAGCCATAGAGTCGAATGCCACCCTTTCTCTCCCGCGGATTCTCGATACCAACATCTCTATGCTCCCTGTGGCGACGGCCTAACACACGCCATCGTCCGCAAGGTGCACGTTCGTAGGTGCGACCGTCGTGTAATTAATATACATACACTTTTGAGTCTATCATGAGCCATGTCCCGCCCAAATCAATCAGCCATACGCGACTTTATCTGACGGTATAACAAAATTTGCAGCGGGTGCCCATGAATCTCGTCAAGCTTCCAAGTAGGTTGCTCCTCGAAGACTAGTGGAAGCGTACTGCAACGAGCATTCTTTCGCTTCTCCGGAGAAGATTATAATTGAGAGTGCGTCAGGTCGTAAATTGCAACGTGCCAGGGTAGTCTTGCCAAAGATGGACGTCAAAGCTCCATGAGTATCCGATTGAGGATGCCAACTCACTCAATCATGTTCTGGTAACAGTCCTGGTGCACTCATCGGCTCATCAAACGCGCTACGTTAGCTAATAACCTCGCTCGCAGCGGTTCATCACCTCGCGGCTGGCTCTCGTAAGCTTTCTCGCTTGTGGCGGCACGTCGACTTTCCAAGGATATGATCAGTCAAATTCGCTTTTTGAGTTTCACCATCGTATCGCGTGACTTGAGGGTCCTCTAAAGGCTCAGAGCCACATCGCTGCTTTTGGGCACACGGTAGCTTAATTACAAGGATGAAATTCGCCTGCATATGAGCTATATACTTGGCTCGTTAGAGCGGGGTCATGGTAAGGCTTCAGTTCGGCTACGTAGAGCGCAATAGTGAATAAAATCACTATAGGATATCATAGATCGTAGACACTGCATGTGTTAATAAATAAATTGTATTTAATAAACCCTTTTCATCCACACAGTATTATGTGTATTTTGCCTGTATCTTGCATCAGCTCTTGCTGCTATACGTCCTGATTTACAGTCAAGCGCTGCGCGCCATGCGCGCGACACACAATCTCATTGAGATAAAATTACACATCAAGTCACAAAAAGTATCTGGATGATTTCACAAGTTGATTCTGATCGCCAACCCCTGTAAGCCCGTCACGTGGTAGTGCTGACCTAGGACTGTCGCACCATAACAACAATAACTCATCCTTCATAACGTCAGTGCCTAGAATATTAACTCTTGATTACGAGTCACTCTTCACGTTCATCGGCTAGTCTAAGACCACATTGAGGTGGCGTCAAGGGTTTATCACGACATCTATGAAAAATGAGGTTAGACTTCCGGGATAAATACTGCTTTTGTAGCGCATACTCAATGAGTGGAAACAATGCTTAACCGCTTACACTGATCAAGCAGTCAGGACAGATCGCTTGATGAGCAATATTTTTCATGGGAATGGCAACCCAAAGAAAAATGATGTGCTTCTTGCAGGACGTTGAGCTTAAAACTCCCAACGTGAGGAACCACTTCACGTTTAGTCTCATCCGGGCAGCGCTAAACAGCTAATCTTAGGATAAAGAATAGCAAAGAAATTGTGGAATTGAATCTTCAATTAGTGGCATCCGAAATTTGAATTCCTGATGGGTGCAGCGGCACCGGAAATATCCCTCGCTGCACAACCAAAAGTAGAGCCACAAAAGGATGGACGTGCGCGTGGAACGCCATCTTTGGTTTGGGTTTTCCAGACTCAAGGCGCGTCGGCGGTTTTCTTCGTATTTGTCGCTCTGCGACGTATGGATTAATCTACAACGCTCTCGCGAACTCTGTGGTCGCTCACACGGCATTCCCAATTCTATAGTGAACGCAGCAAATGTTGCGACTGACCCGTACGCTAAACGTATCACTTCATCAATTTGTGACGTCGCTACTGTGACTCGATACCATTCATGGTAAGGGCGACGCGAGAAAGCATTCGCCGCCACGTTAAGGATCCTGTTCTCACCTCATCTCTAAGATGTGCTTCGCAAAAAAGAATAATCATTGTGGCATTATGTGACGATAACTTTGCCAAGCGCAACGAACATAGTTCCAATGTTTCAGGATCATGCATGTGCACTCTTAAGTTGATGAAGAAACACTTCACTGCAAGTCATCCTTTTCATGAACTCGGCAGTTAATTTTGCCGCTGACGAGTTTCAAGCGTGATGAGGCATATATGTCGATCGGCATGTGCTTAAAGCGCAGTCTATGGCAACAACTGAGGCGTTACAATTGACGTGGATCGATCGTTCCGGATAATTCAGAATCATAGTACACTTATTTCAACCTTGATGAGTCATCCCGACGTTGGTCAGCGGTGGTGCCATCGCTCTATATTTGTACGAGTATCTGGCCAAGCCACTTCCTTTCGTTTCATAGGTGCAAATCTACAGTGGTCTTACATTTGCGGGACATCCCCGCAGGTGTTACACACGAATCACTTAGACGAGCGCGTATGTTTCTTAATCAAATACTTCAGACTGAGAAGCCAACGACATTCTCGTTCAACGGCTTTCTGAAGCACGAGCTACCACGTCAGCGAGTTGGTTCTCAACTCCGATTCCGCTACTATGAACTGATCTATTTCGCTTAAACAATAGATAACAAACAGCGAAGTGAAGTGATCGGCCATTAATTCGCAAACTAATTGCACTGAATATTGTACGGCGACTGACTCACCAAAGCCAATCAATGAGTGTCATGTCGTAGCCATCCATTACTTTCATACTTGGTATCGTCAACTGAAAAGGTATCAACTTTAGTGTCGTCGTCTTGATCGCGGTTATATTAGTGGGAGGAAGATCAGTTAGCGCTTACTACTCAATTTCCTCTTTGTGCTTTTCCGCTTCTTTTCCATTTGATTTCTCTCATCTGAAGTTTTAAGCTTAAAAGCTGAGAGATCACCAGCAAACAGTACGCTATGGGCCCAGCCAGCTTGAGGGGCAAAACGAGCCCGAAACAAGTCACCCACTAAGCGGTAGACACTCGGTGTGATACTTTTCCGATCATTTAAAGTCGGATCTAGTTCACGACATGCAATTTGCCACACGTGTGTATCAACAGGAATTGCCTCCAGCTTCTCCAAGGAAAAGAGCGCAACGCAGTCGGCGACTTTACGTCCAACGCCAGTGAACACCATCAGTTTTTCTTGATATGCCTGGTATAAAGTGGAATTCTCTTCGTCAGACATACTGGTTTGAATACTTGATTTAAAACTCACACCAGTCTTGTCATCTCGAATGCTATTAAGATACGAAGCCCCTCCAAGTTTCTGAAGCTGTTTCGCAGTTTTAACAATGAAAGCCGCACGATAACCAAAACCCAAAGCTCGCAATGTTTCCTCGTCACATTTTCTCGCAAGAGTTTCAACCGATGGGAAAGCATAAAACAACTTGTTCTTGTCATTTTCCACACTGTTCTCTGTGTTATAAATCAAATCTCCGTACGTTGCTTTAAGCTTGTCCACCATTCCTTGAATTCGTGCGATATTGTTGTTCGAAGAGCAAATGAAGGAGAATAAACACTCGACAGGGTCCTGTCGCACAATCCTCAAGCCTCGTAATCTCTTTATGATGTCAGACATTTGGTCTTTTGTTTCGGTCCAGCGCTCGTAGAGTAAATCAGCTGACATCTACATCCCATTACAGCCACAAAATTAGAATCTTTGTCAAGTTACGATCTAAAGTATCTACAAACATCCAGCCGAAAGTAATAGGATAGTTCATCATATCCTTCTTGGTACGATACTTCACAAAAGCAAGACATTAGAACTTGTTTTAATCTTACGAGTATTATACCCACATTTTAATGGATAAAGACATCGAAACTGAACCATTCCCTGATATTCCCGTAGTGCAAACACTCGACGCCCAATGACTCCCTTCCACGACTTCATCTCTTGTGTATGCCTTCGCCAAGAGAAAACTTGACCTGATTCTAGTGTAAGTGCACACGAAAGCTCTTGAGTGCTACATAGTGAAGCCCAGTCATTGCATTCGGATCTCTCCATCTTTACATGCGACTTCGACAAGGAAGTTGGTACTACTGACGTTGAGATGACATTCGATTTCGCAGTGTGTGAAGTGAAGGTGGTTCTCTCAGATTTGATGCAATGCGACGCGAGACGAGCGGAACGACGCATTTGATTTAACTATCCAACTGATTTTGATGGATCAAGATTTAGTTCTATCAAATAAATAAAATTCTACGAAGATAATACCGTTGTAAAGCTATTATTGTCGAATCGGCCATACTTGACCCCCCAGTAGGTAAAGCCCAGAGCTGAAGCAAGTACAGCAGTCAGTGAGAAAAAGACTAAAGCTTCAAATTGATGTGGATCATGAAAAATGATGCCTGAGAACTGAATGAGAATATAAAAAAATTGACTCAATGCTGTCTGCATTGCGTTGATCGCTCCTCGCTGGTCTGGTGCAATCCACTCTTGCATAATTTGAGTCTCTGCCAAATCGGTGCACCAAAGCCAAGCACGTGAAATTACCACGCAAATGAGCATCACATAGTCAGACGTAATAGATTCCTTCGCGAGAATAAAAATCAGTGGAATTGGAGTTAAGCACAACCAAAAGAGCCATACACTCAGAATAGCAATGTGTTGTACTCGTTTGAAATGAGTTTGTAAATAGGAAAAGATTATCGTGCCCACAAGTCCAGTGATGGCCCCAGCACCACGACTTATACCTAAGAGTGAATTAGACACGCCACGCCACTTAAGGTAGGCAGTATTCAATGCACCACCACTTAAGATTGTCATGTATAGAGCACAATACGAAAAACTGATGAGAAAGACAGGGTGCTTCACAAAGTTGGACCACAAGCTTAAGTATCGAGTTCTCGTCGAATCGGTTTGCTCCTTACTCATATTTTCATTAATAGATGCACGAACAGCGAGTGCTGGTACGAGATGGTAGATATCGTGTGTCATACAATACTCTAACGGAGTGGAGATTATATTCCAAAGTCCCACGACTGCAGCTCCAACCATCGCACGAGTAGTTGGATCGCCACCTGCGAAATCCACAATTAATCCAAACGCCATCGGTCCAAGAATGCTACAGCTTAAATCAATACGACGCATGAACGTATTTAAATTTGCAAGAGCAGTTGAATTGTTGGGTCCCGCAATCACAACGACCCAATCACGTTCAATACATAAAGTTTGTACGTCGTTTAGCACTTGACCCAAACTTCCACATATTAAAGTACCTAAAAACATCATTGCTAAAGTCCACGTCCACTCCGGCCTGTGCACGCCATCTGCATTTGTGAAATACAAGATTAAACCTAAAATGATGGCATTAAACACAACCATCACGTTTTCGAGAACGATAGCATACTTCACAATGGTCCAACGGTTCCATTTATCCAAATAGTGTCCTACCATTGGAATTGTAAGGATACAAACAACGTTCGTGGCTAATGAAAAGACTGCGCTGGGTAGAAGTGTGTCAACAAAGATATCCATAAGCACGATAGGCACCGCGAATGCCCACATTCGATCTCCCCAAGACGAAAGTAGATGACTAGCATATAAATACGTCACCACTTGACGTTTTCTTGTATTATCTTTAAAAAGATACTTATGTTCGTTATGACTTTGATCACGTGCGTTCAACCACGCAGAAATTAGACAAGTGGCAACAGGCACAAGTGTAGCAGAGCTGAGAATGAGTGACACCATATTAGCAGGTACGGACATGATGCAAACACTTTGACAGCCTTTGATGCATAATGCGCTATCCAGTGCAAACAAGGCACTGATGAAGCCTAATACGAGACAGATCGGCACGGCAACTAATTTCATTCGTGAAAGAACGTGGTAATTGTTATTGTCGAGACTAGAAGTACCAAATTGATTATTATTAGAAAAAAAGTAAACATGTCAGGCTAATATTGATATTTACGGAGGTACACAAGCAAATTTGTAATATGTCGAATATAATGAGTGTTCTACCAAGCTTCAAGTATCTCTTTAGTAGTGTGCATTATTCTTCTCTAACGTAAGGAGCCATTGCACTTAATCCACCGTCAACTGTATAAAAAAATACCCACATCAGTCAGCTATAGGGTCTTGCGATTTCAGGAAATAGCTAACGTACCGAAGATTGTTTGTCCCGATACGGCCGCAGCAAGGTCACTCGATAGAAACGCAGCAACAGATCCAACATCGCTATTTGAGCTGTTGCGACGCAAAGGTGCATGAGTCTCGGCATATGTTCTCATTTTCTACAACGGTAGATTATAGATAATGTATAGTGCTGCGATAGTTATTCAAAAATCTAGTAAACTCACAGAGATACCGGGAATGCCACGTGCCGACACAGTATTTATTGGTCCAGGGCTAAGACAGTTGACGCGGATTCCATCCGGTCCAAGCTCGTATGCCAACTGTCGTGCAGTTGCCTCCAATGCAGCCTTTGCTGGCCCCATTACGTTGTAATTCGGCACCACCTGCTCCAAAGCCAACAATAATTAGCTCTTATAATTACTATCTCCTAATACTCTGTCACCTTTGTCGAGCCCGCATATGTCAGCGCCAACACACTGCAATTCCGTTTCTCTTCTCGCCCAAAGATCATAAGTGGTTTCGCCGCTCTGGTAAGGGCCACCAGACTATAAGAGCTGACATCAAGAGCCTGTGTCCATGTAGCCCTTGAGGTACCCAACAATCCCTTGTTAAAGGCTTCGCGAGGAGCGAATGCTACGGAATGAATCAAAATGTCCAATACACCATTAAATATCTTTCCACAGCGTTGCATAAGCTGATCAATGCTCTCGTCATTCTCAACGTCGCATGATTCGAAATTTAAGGATGCACAAGAAGAATCTGGAATCTGAAAGCCGCAGCTCTTTGCTTGACTTTCGCTTAACGGTATCTTGGATGATACGACAACGCTTGCACCATTGCTAAGAAGCGATTGTGCGACGCTTACAGCGAGTGAGTGCTTGTTCATAAGTCCAACGACTAAAGCGCGCTTGCCTTGGAGTAGCATGGTGCTCTATGCGCTAATAGCTTGGAGAGGTATAACATTATTCCTTTAAATTATTGCAAGAATATATATCCAATATTATGTGCATTTTAAAATAGGTCAACTGGTATACAAGTATACCGTTCGTACATATAAAGAGTAACCCTTCCATATCTCGATCAATTTCTTGAAGCTACGCAATATGAGCACATGCTCCGCCACGACACACACAGGAGCGCGTTGTACGTCCGCAGCTACAACTTCAAATGGCCACTGCTCGCACCACGCTCGATTAGCTCGCGTTATGGCACTAGCGCCCAAGTCAAAATCTCCCGCACTCGTAGCGTCGTCTTCAAGCGTCTTGTCGGATATGCCGTCCGTCTCTCCATCGTCTTCATCGTCGTCGTCATTTGACATATCGCCAGTCCACTCTAATGTGTCCAGCTTAAATAATCTTCACTTACTACCCGACGAAACTGTCCAACACTCTGTCCCTTGTTCCTTTGTGTTCCCCGAAACACTGACACTTCCAGTTCTCCCTGGAACACTTTACATCACGACATTTCGGCTTCGTTTCGAGCCTCAAAGTGCGTCTTTACGTGGCAATGGTAACTTCCATCGACTCCTCGATACTGCTCTTCAAGGTATGCCACGCGCAGCTGTTGCCAAACTTTCATACCCCCAAGCAACCGTTTCGACCATGAATGCGTACACTGGTGCGACCCCCACCCGTCTTGTCATCAAGTTTAAAGATTTACGCGCTTGGACACTTGGTGGTGATGTGACACGATTGTTACCAGCAATCAATCGGTACGCGTTTGTAGAGTCACCATTGCGGTTATTTGCGTTTATGTCAACATTTCCAAAAGATAGTCTACATGGTCATGCACTCTATAATTTAGACGACGATTTTGCTCGAATGGGCATCACTTTGAGAAATGGGTCAAGTGCCTACCGAGTGACCAACTTAAACGCATCCTTTGTAATGTGTCCGACGTATCCTCAAGAATTGGTCGTACCAACAGCAGCCACTGACACAGAAGTCGGCGCTGTAGCATCCTTTCGATCTAAAGGACGACTTCCAATCTGTAGCTACGTACATGCACAGAATGGTGCTGCATTATGGCGATGTGCTCAGCCAAAACGTGGCATTTTGCACGCACAGAACCAGTCGGACGAACAGTATTTGCTTCACATTGCACGTGCGTCTAGTCCGACTGGAAATCCAAACACGCGTCGGATTTGGATCGCAGATTGTCGACCAGAGCTTAATGCAAGAGTAAATAACTTGACAGGAGGTGGCACAGAGCGAGGGAACCTCGCACATGCCCGCGTAACGTTTTTGAACATTGGAAATATCCATGCGATGCGGGAGAGTATGGAGGCTGTTCGTACATTAGGCGGTTTTGAGGCCTCAAGTACCATAACAGAGCCGACAGATCTTGCTTGGGGGACTCGCGTCGAAGATACAAAGTGGTTGCTACATGTACGACGGGTCTTAAGTGGCGCGTTGCAAGTCGCACGTGCATTGGACAGTCAAGCCACAACTGTCGTCGTACATTGTAGCGACGGCTGGGACCGAACAGCTCAGCTCTGTGCGCTGGCTCAGCTCCTCGTGGATGCGCATTATCGATCGCGAAGAGGATTTCTCGAGGTGATTGAGAAAGAGTGGGTACGTGCAGGCCATAAGTTTCAGGAACGGGTCGCTCCCGGGAAATCCGAAGATGACGATGATCAACAAGCACCTATTTTCTTGCAGTTCTTAGACTGTGTCTGGCAGCTTTTACGTCTATATCCCACGTACTTTGAGTTTAATGAGCGGATGCTTGAAGCAATGGCTGACGCGCTTTTCTCGGGCAGATACGGCACGTTTTTGGGTGATTGTGAGCGAGAACGGATGGCATGGAGAGTACGCGAGCGAACGCCTTCGTTATATACGTATTTACTTCAAAGTGACCGATTCGTAAATCCATTTTACCGTGGCAGTAGTACGGACGCACTGCTGCCAGATCCACCCACCCTACTTCGTCAAGTCGCGCTATGGACGTCGTACTATTTCCGCGGCGCTCCATTCCCATCTACACCTCCAGGTAATCCGACGCCACCAACGTACGCTACAAACGATCTCGGAGATGACAATGTGCCGTCGAGTCATGCACAAGAAGATCTAGAGAACGCCATGACTGCTGCGCTACGTCGAATTCGCGAACTAGAAGATGCTCTTCGCGTTGCAACGTCCGAGCCGTCCCCTCTACGACCAGCACCGATGTCCTACCCACCATTGTATGCACCCACTGCTGAACCCGATCAAACTGCGTACCGGCACAATTCAAATGGGTCGTCCTACTCAAATTGTAGCAAAGAAAGCGTGCACGCTGATCAACCCACCACTCTCCCTCCATCAGCACCTGTCCAGCCTCTCTCCACATGGACGTGTAGCCTCTGTACCAAGACAAATATGGCAGACGTCCTGCAATGCGTTGTATGTGGTCGCACGCCACGCTAGAGAACGCTAAGTAGCCACGTAGCAACAAGCACCACCATCCTCACCGTGAATCGCAAAACTTAAGCTTCCTACAAACGTTCGTTCTCGTGCTCATTCTTGCGCATACGCTTGACACAGTCTTGGAGCACGTAATGCACTTTATCTGGAAAGTGGTCGTCTAGCATTGTCCGACCAATCCGGATCTTGCTAAACTGTCCTTCTGCAGCCCACGCAAAGCGATAGTTCGTACGGGCCGTGCAGCACATGCCGCCTCCTCCTGGACGACAGCAGACCCAGCAACCAGCTGCGCTTTTTGCGCGTACCACACGCTTTAAATGAACTACACGACCTGGGAGTGTCAACTCGTGAATCGGTTCAGATTCTTGAATTCTTTGCAACATCGTTCGATAGTTTGACAAGTGCGCGATAAAAGGCGACGGCTTTCTACTGTCACCGTTGTCGTCAAAAGCCGAATGTTCGTCCGAACTTTGATGCAACAACTCATCAGGTGTACGCCACGCAATCACTTGGCGCAATATTACCGCCTTGTTTACTTTGCTCCGTCCAATAAGATCTAAGACTTGGTCTCGCAATGCCTCAGCCGATGTCAAAGATGAGCGGGCAATAATGTCGTCGCCTACAACGACGGAATACGTAAACTCCGCGCATCGGGACGCTAAAGATGGCGACATGGTGCACCCGGGAGGACTGTACGCAAAACATCGAAGTCGCGGGTACTTGGGTCGCAGCATGACGGATAATAGACACGCAGTTCCAGCTCCAAGTGAGTGACCAGTGAGAACGAGGCCATAGTCACGGTACGCACCACGTTCACATACATTTACGCTGTGCGTCGCAATAGCCGCCATCGACTTGTCATCAAAAAGCATTTCCAAGATACCAAGACGATTGAGCTCGATATAAATGGACTCGGCACACGTGAGAAACCCTTGATGCGCGAACTCACCCGCTCCGTCGCAGCTCCACCGATTAGCCACGTCGTCCATTGACATGCCGTACGCAATAGCGTCAGTCAAACAATCTTCAAGCGACAATGTGCCACGAATTGCAAGCACAACCTCCTGACGGTCATGATCCAACATGACGGCAAACGCTGGCTGATACACAGAGTTACGAAAGCTCGCGTACACAATATCGTCGCTTCGAATCTTTGTTTCCAGCTGCATGGCTGTCTGGCCCAAGTGAAACCAATTATCACCATGTACATACGTCCGATTACGCCGTAAGCACGAAAAGGCGAGACTGATCGTACCACTCCATGGATGTGACCAAACGTAAAGCATCCACCCGTAGATTCCAATGGCATATTTCGAAAAGTGAGCCAATTCCTCAAGTTTTTCCGTCAATTCCACGTCGTTTAGATCCGGATCAGACGGATGATAATAAAATGCGCGTTTTGAGTGCTCAAACCGCGCGTCTTTGTCGTCTAGTGATGAAATTGGAATTGAAATTTCATGGCATTCGTTTGCATTTTCTGGAAAAGTCAGCGATGGACTTTCAGAATCAATGACCTCTGTAATTGATGAGTTATCAATTCCAAGACTCCGCTTGCTGCCAGTACTGGCACGGATCTTCGCACGGAGGTTTGCAAGCGTTGCTTCTTCTTCTTCGTCTCCTTCTCGATGAGGTGACGTAGCAATCACTTCATGACGTTCTTCATGCGCTTGTACAGCGGCCAGTAGTATAAATCCAGCAACAATATCCGAGATTACAAGGTCAGGACTGCCATAAAAGAGTCGAGAAAAGACTTTAGCAACAACTGACATGCTGTCGTGACGCGTGCCGGCACCACCAAACAAATTGCACGTGAAGCAACGGATACACATGCAGCATCGAGTACAACGTTGTTTCCACAATCGTTGGCTATGTGGTACATACACGTCCGAGTTTGGGACCTCTCGATCAATTTCTACAGAAAAAAGCAATCTCTTGTCAGTTTTGATATTCTTTTTCGGCCTATACGGCCGCAACGTACCGTCTAATAAAGATTGACGTTCAGATATAAAAGTGTTACCATAAGGATTGTTGGGAATACCACCAGGAGGTTTCTCAAAGGAGATCGCTTCTTGAAGTTGTGCATTACTAAAGATGCAAATGCCAAGAGCAAACGTAAAACTCACTTCGGCGACTAAAAACGCACCAATTGCCTAATCAATGAACTTGTTATCACGAGGAATGACAATCCGTCAAGCAAAAAAAAATCATACCAATACAAATCGAGCATCACGGTGACAAATGTCACGGTAGTACCAGCAGTAGATACCAAGAATACCGTAGCTGAGAAGAACAAGTGACCACAGTACGTGAACCCGCAACATCTTGGGCATAAGTACGCGACGTTCGTGATCTACGATGGTTCCTTTCGCAGAGACTTGCATGATCATAAGGTAGATGCAGCCACGAAAAAAGAAAAGCGGCATCGCGCCAAGCATGTACCAAAATGGCAGTCCATTAGCGTCGAACGAAGTGCTTGAACAGCTTCGCCATAGACTTGCATAGAGAATACAGACCGTTGATAGTGGTAGCTGATAGAGAAATAGAAAGAGAGCAGGGCAATACAAATCATCGCTGCCGACCACACGACTGCGACGCCCGAACACTTCGAGCGCTGGCATTATACCCCACGCGCCTGTTTGGACTATACGCACCGATATAAGACATTTTAAGACTTTTATAACCAATCAGATTTGTTTAAAAGTGCTGCTCTATTTTGAACGTACTTGTACGTAATTTATAGAACTCAGCGGCTAGAACATTTTTTAAGAAAATTTGTATTGCCAACATTCTTGCAACTATTGTGTGGAATGATCAATAATTTAGCAAGAACGTACCATCTAGGTCAAGTAATATTTGCATGTGCGCGGATTTTGAAGAAAATTCGCTTTAGGCAAATCGGGTGAGTATGGTATTCAAAGTCTTCTCCTCAAAATAGATGACGTAAATTTAGCTCACTGAATTGACTCACTTCGTATTTTGCCTGAATGAGGTAACCGCATGCACCATGCGCAATTGTATATTATAAATTTATCACAATGGTATCAAGTGCGTAAAGTAAAAGCTCACGACATTCGGGTACTTACTTTATTACGCTGATGGTGTTTGTGGGGAGTCGTAGCCCAGATAAACGCAATCTTTTGGGGGCTCAGATCCGGCACCACTACCGGGCACTGAGATCTACAGTGTACAAATAGTATTTCTCTAGATGTTGCAATTTCCAATTACCGAGTGTCCTGCCACCTGCTGACGATTTGTCATCACTCGTTCCTCAACAACATCAACGACTGAAATACTATCCAGAAGACTCAACCAAACAAAATTTCTCCGCAATCCAGCAGACTTCTGTCGATATTATCAATTGTCTCAAATTGCAAAACACTTAACCGGTGATGGGCGTCATGCACGCTAAAAGAATTGAAAGCGGTAAGGCATTGATGCCCCACCAATGCGTATGTCTCTATTTCGGGTCAACAGCGTGTCCAGTGCTAGCTGTTAAATAAAGGTGCGACGGAATTCCAAATATGAGCACGGCGCTAAGCATCGGTAACTGATGTAAGTGCACGACTATCGCGAGAGATAAAAAAAATCTTCGAACAACACAAAATTTGCGCTTGTGAGGAGAATTAGAATGCAGGCGCGCAATCTGGGATGTGAATTGCGTGACTCTGACGCTGAACAAGATTTTAGCTTCTTTTTACGAGCTTGTTGGGCGCTGTAAATTTTGTTTGATGCAAACGCAAAGTGCCATTCCAGAAATTTGATGTGTGATCGATACAGTTGTGCCCTCGCTGACGCAGAACAAATAATTTATAAGTTTCGTCACGCAACAACTAATAACACATGAGATCATATGTTGCCGTCTCTAGGCAATTGCACTGAGATCGATGATACCGTCTTGCACTAAGAAAAGCGGTACAAGCTCTGAGATGACTACAGATCGACTATAAATTCGATACAAAGTCATCAATCTATTGGCCAAGAATCGGTCTCGGTTGGATACTAGTAGGTCAATGGCTCATGATTTTGCCTTCTGACAGATTATATATCTTTTGCTTATCCTTGTCACGTGCGGAAATCGCTTCGTTGAGCTCTCCAATTAGCGTCGACATGGTGTCGTATCGTCTTGACGATGACTCACCTGAGTTTGAGGCACTTTACGCGTTCAGATGCGAATTCCATAATCACGAACGATTGGTCAGCAAAAGACTGCACATTTTTGTCGCTATTGCAAAGAGGCGACTTCACCGCAAGATAACCAGCTAAAGAGATCATCCAATCAATGTTCTTCCACTCATATTCGGTTGAGGTTTTTACGAATAAGCTGAGTCAAGTTGAAGGCCGGCCACTCATGGTTGTCGTGTGGACGGACTACTAAGTGGTATCGGATGCGACAGGTGCAGACACGCTACACGCGCCAATTCATATACAGATGACCTGAGTTCTTACTAGTAAACCAAATCTGTATTCATTAGTGACGTGCATCGCAGGCACTTATTACAACTTAAATTGAAACACAAGCCTACTGATTGGCCGACGAGAACTATAATCAATACCATGTAACGAGAGTTGGTCGAATGGATATGAAATGGTTCGTTGTGTGCCTCGCACGCATTCGTTTCCCAATTCATCCGGGAAGGGCCCGAGAGCCTCAAGCAAATTCATACATTTTTGCTCGCTTTTTATTTAAAAGTTGCATATACGTAAACTCAAGTCAAATCAAACGAATACAATATTATCGGTTTTACCAGTTTAACGAGTAATTAAATGTTTACTATGACGTGAGGCTATCATACTTGTGTCTCACGGACCTCTCCGCCACTATACAACATGTATTCTGATAGTCGCTCTCCCGCCAAGATGTGAACCACATTAGGGCTTAAATATATTTTGTCTGTATGATATATTGCGAAAACGTGAACGCTGGACGAGCAGCCACTGCGCTTGGAACTTATCTCAATTGCTTGGCTTGATGATCAAAGGGTGGAACACTCTTGGATGGAACGTCTGTGTAGCCGGCAAGTACGCTGACACTGTAAATAGTACACGAATTAGTTAAAGAGTTGCCCTCAGCCCAAAATACGTGGGAACTTGAAGTTATTTTTCGGCTAGATTGTTTTGGTACTATGACTGCTTATGATTTAGCGCACCCTTGGCCTTTAGGCTTCTTGAAAGAGACTAAATCTGAATTAGAAATAGGTTATGAGTCCCTAGTGTCTGTCGTACTTTTAGAGGCTAAATATTAAGGCGGTATAACGGGGCAAGCACTGATCTCACGTACTTAGTCCTACGAAATTAGAATAACTGTACAAATTTTACACTATACTTGGTGTTATTGCGGATAACGAGTTATGTGGGGTGGCCAAAAAGAAAACAAGTTTATTTCGAAAAATTGTAAAAAGTATATTTAGTATAAATTAATTGACAATTTACCTATATATAAAGGCTTGGAATATTCACGCGCCTGTAGCTCTGTCATCTCAAAAGTCTCTCTGTCCCGCTCCTGGCTGAAGTGCACGAACCAACCTGTGTGCGTTTGTTACCGTGGACGCAACAAATCAAAGCTATCTCTTTACAAGAGACGCGGCACCCGATTCATATAGAGCATTCTCACAAATTGATGCACCACTGCATACGGAATCACGTGGCTCCCCATTCTGGGGACGAATCGGGCGTCTTGGCCAAATCCTTTCATTGTTCAGTATGTGAGTGATCGATGTTTAATGCGATCTATTTTCTTTGCTGCTCGATTTGATGGTAACATCTAATTGGCTTAGGCGGATAAGCGACGTGTCTTATCCGCCAAATGCGCAAACTGAGTGCAATACTCTTGCTAGCGTGCACTACCCAAGGCACGGTCATAATCGAGAGTACAGATTTACCCGACCGCTACTACTTTAGGTACAATCAATCTTTTGTGGATTGGTGACGAGAGGGGTCACAAGTGCTCATGAAGCGATTTTTTAATGCTCGTGTTTGTCTTTAAGCAAGCAGAAATTACGTTGGAAATGCCCGCCTGGCACGTAGAGCAGCTTTCTGATAAATGAGTTCCAAAAGCACGACGTTTATCATCCTGCAAAATTGTTGATACTATCGCGCTATGGAAATCTTTACGTCATGGGGACACGCTATAACGAGTGTTTTCAATACAAATGAGTTCGTAAAGAGCGACCACCGTAAGATGAATGTAGGCATAGGCCTAATCTTGTGCGGCTGACTCTTGCGAACTCTCTCGATTGTTACGGCACGTCGACTTCTTCAAAATTCATGGCGTGTGCTTAAGAATGAGATGAGCCGGATCTGAAGCTTGCTCTCTTGGCTTCGTCTTCGAATGTTTGCGTAAATTCTTTCTTAAGAAACAGCTTGGTTGTATACCCACCTGTCATATTATCGCTGACAGCAGAGTGATGAGCAATCTTACTTAGACAGTCCACAACACCAATCACAATGGACGCATCTTGTGAAAAGAATGGACCACCAGCAGTCAGCCGAAATCGGCAGGCGAACCAAAGGTGTAGAGTTTAGGCGAGGGCTCAACGTGTTGACGTGCGCACACATTTGCCAAGCGACATGTTACCAATACATAGCGCTCACCGAACTGTATATATATCCTCTTCATGGATGTCCGCCAAGATGGCCGCGAAGACTGATTATTATGCGTGTCACTGCTGCGGTGCATCAATCACAAGGATAAGGCATAGCGATGCAGCATTAAATTGCGCACTTCTATAGAGCAACTTTTGACCTCCTGGATTTTTGCTACCGCAACGCGTCCGATGCTGCGTCTAGCACGTATGCTGTACGTATCTTATTACCAAATGGTGACTTCATCATCGTGACATGCGACAGATCATGTTCAGCGGCGTGAGAGCGCATCCATCTCTTTATTAAGACGATTCGACTTATACGTTTCCTCAAATGTATATCTTGCAAATGCGATTTACCATCGTGCCATTCCGAGCGATGTGTCGCCATGCGCAATGACGCGTGAAAGATATATATCACAAATGGCTTAGAGCCATGCAGATGATGCGTGAATTGGAGAGGAAATACTCCATTACAATAAGTAGGTACTTGGCAGGAGAGTTATATTAAGCACCTTCCAACCGGCAAACTTAAATGCGACCACGCGTACATGTCCATCGACATTGTAGTAATGCACATTCTTTTGCCAGACTGAATCATCGCACATCTTTTTAAAACGGACGATCTAAACTATGCAAGAATTGCGGACGCACGACGCTTTCTTTTACATTCTTGATTGTCATCTCATCACCGCCCCTCAACACATTTTTAAGGACGATTGGCGAAGGGTCGTGCCGTGTTGGTATAGTTTGTATCGCACATTTGCAAGTAAAAAGTCTTTCTGTCACGATGTCAGCGCAGATTGGGCAAATCTGCCCTTACATTGATTTGACTAATGCTTTGCATGGAAGAAAGCGTAAATGACGCATTGCTGTTCTCTCAATAAGAATCTTTATTGTTGACGCGATATTTGGTTTCAAGAACGAAGTCGATTTCATGACACACTCCCCTATCCGAGTTTGATACGCTGGTGAGTCTCTCATCAATTCGTCGTGAGTTTCCTTCAACAAGAAACAAATTTGATCCACAGGTCCTGGTGGATAGCTGCTCCACTACTGAGAATATACTTTACTGTTGCTTTCACATAAAACAACTTACATTTTTGAAGTGTGCCTCGCAGCTCCTTTTCGAAGTTCCGTAATCTTCATGGAAACAATATTAATGAGAATTTGCAATCACACCTAGTGTAATGCAAATTTCGTACAATTGTACCGTACTGTAATATATACAATTTTACCGGATATGTAAGGGCTAAGTACACATTTACACAACAGCGCCTAAAATTTTACTATCTTAATGATTTTTAAATGATCTTTTTTCTCGACAGTAATACATTATTTTTATTTATTACCTTTGCATTATGTCGCGACGGATCTATTCATTTGCTATCAAGTTAAGCGTGTACAATCTGTAAAGCCGTAGTGGTCGATTTAGCAGGAGGCATCTGTACTACAGCGTGTAATCATTGATCAATGTCATCTATCCTATTTTACAGTCTCGACTTTTTTATTTGTCAAATGTACAACACTTGTCAGCCATTAGATCTGCTGCTGACGTAGCAGCCATTAAATTTAATATTACCTTATTCAGTTATCCGCCGTTTAATTGATGTGGCCTTTTGTATCTGCCATGAATTTTGGTGTAATCAATAGTGATGGGGACGTAAACCGAGTTGACGTTATTTGGCATTCTTCCCGTTCCCGTC